CAATTTCATATTCAGTTGACAGAACGAAATATTTCAAAATAATAATTTTACACTGTGTAGTGTTTTTATATTTCTGAACTTAACGTTAGGGTCGCTTCCCTATTGAAAATGCCATATAGAACCATATAAAAAACACGTATCTGGATTCTATATGGATTCTATCTGGTTCAATATAGGTATTTGAAACAGGCATTTCACTATAGAACCAGATAGAAGATTACATTATAGAACCAGATAAAAACACTCTAAAACCAGATAGGGAAACCTATCTGGAAATACATATAGAACAGAAACCAGATAAATCCATATACAACCATATAGAATCCGTAATGTAAACCAGGACTTTCCATATAGGACCTATAAAACCATATAGAACCAGATACGTTTCCTTATCGGATTCAATATGGGTTCTATATGGCATTTTCAATAGGGTTGCATCAACAATGGACAATCTTAAACATAATTGCTACAAAATAGTATATTATGTATCAAGTTTGATAAACGCCATTTTATACATGCATATAATTTAGGTACGAGCGAGCTTGCGAGCGAGTGCTTAAATTAATAAGTGTATAGAAAAGTTTATAAACGAGGTGCATACTATACTTTTTCTACGACAAATACTTAGGTATTATTATCTTAAAATGATTTAAATCAAAAATTTGTATAGAGCGCCATCTATGAAACAATAGGGGAAACTGTGTGTCACCGTCAAATGTCAAATTTTTATATTTTATAATCACAATTATAAAGGTTATAAATCAAAATGTATTTCTTGAAAATTAACAGTTTTTCACAGTGAAAGTAAAGAAAATGTTTTATGAGGACTTTACAGAAGAGTCCGTGCCCGAATTTAAGTTATAGTATTTTTGTATTGAGATAATAAAATAATTTTCACATTTATTATTATTTTACAAGAAAGGCACTTTATTTTAACGATTTTATGACATTTGACAACTGTAAACTAACTTAAAACAAACTTTAGCCCGTGACTAAAAACCTGTTGCTAACTTCAGCCCGTGACTAAAGCGCCATAAAGCCACAACTTGTCAATGTGTATTTAAAAGGTCACTTAGTGTCATGGAAACATGTACGATAAAGGGCGTTTTAAAGGTGGGAGTAGAAAAAATATCAAATGTTTAATTAAATAACAAAGTTTTAAACAATTAAGTAGCGATACCTCCCACCGCTGCTTACGCACGCTGTCTTACTATAAATAACGGTAGGCTACAAATATTGTGATGAAGGTGTGCAATGGTAATCGAGTGTGTTAAACATAAATCCAATACTCCTATATACGCTTGAAAAAAAAAATAATTAAATGTTTTTATTTCTTTGATGTCTCAAATAGAGTGAAATTTCTTCTTTGTACACAGAGCAGGTAGATATTCGCTGGCGCGACTAATTCGTTCAAACATTTTTATAATTATCTATTTAAAAAAAAGTAGTGTAGATGTAGTACGTAAAGGCGAGATTTTCTCGCTTTGCCCTATTGAATATTCTGGAGATGTTTTTTTTTCTATTTAGGTTATTTTAATTGCATGATAATATTTTAAATTAGTATTTCATTTGCTTTCGCTTTAAGTACTCCTTTATGATTTTCTTTTTCACTACGGCAAAAGGTGATTAAGAAAAATTACCCATTACAAACATTAAACTAATTAAAAACAATTTAAATTTAGGCTGTTAAACTAACTGCCTGTTTTAATTTTAATTATTTCATTATTTAGATGCACACATTAAAACATTATTTATGTACACTTTTTAATTGAACACACCTAAATTATTTACGCGTTTCTCTTTTTCTTACCTTTCAATTTTTTTATTGCCATTGTTCCATTTTAGCAGTCGATCACCCAAAATGTCCTCTAAAAGATGTCTAAAAGATATCATGATCGGGATCCCGATGCGATGACTAAAAGATATGCCGAAAGATCTCTCATATCCCAAATAAGACAGCATCCAGAAAGATATATATTGTAGATAGGACCTTCTGACTTAGCAGGACAGTATCGTGGGTATTTGTACTTTAACACATTAAGCCATTATTCGTTATTACCATTAAACGTTATAGCTAGCCAGTGTGCGGAAGCAGCGGTGAGAGGTATCGCTACTATATTTGTTTATAACTTAGTTATTTAATTAATTTTTTTTTTTCTGTAGCAATTATGTTTGATATTGGCCAGTTTACTTATTATGTATTTTGTATGAATATTTTCATCCCATTCTTATTTAAAACATTTTTAAGACATCTTCTAATGAATCTTGGACACCTTTTAGCCATCTGTAAAAAAAATTAAATTGATCATTTGGTAGATATCTCAAAAATATATCTTATAGATGTCTTTCAGAAATTGTTGTCGCAACGTCATCAGCCATGCACTGCCTTTCCAGCGATGAAGTTGCAGTATCAAACTTACAACGTTGGAACTCCAACAGCTATTAATAAATAAATTCGGAATAAAAGACTTGCTTTTGGCGTCATAAAAATTGTTAGGCCATCGCGTGCGACTTTAAATCAACCTGATTAAACTACTCGCTTGAAAAAAAAATTGAGTAAAACAGGAATACTATCAAATGTATTACTTTGTTAGTGTTATTTTAGGTTTATTTTGTTTTATGAATATATAGGGGCCCTAGAGCCCGCAATTTTGTTGCAACGTTGCAGAAATATTGAGTGCTTTAAAGATTACCTTAAAGTGTAATAATTTACATAATTTTTCAAGAGATTTTTTCATTTTTAAACAAAGTGGAATACCACTTAAAACAATTTAAATTTTCCTATTTTAACTTAAACTTCTCTTAAAAGCGGCATAATTACTGAAACAATCCCGATCATTAATCATGTTATTGTATTTAAATATGAACCTGTTTTTTTAACAAAGATAAATTATTTCGTTAATCTTTCACCTGAATGGTTTAATTTTGTTTTAATCTGGCGAATAATACAATATTTTGTGCGGCTTACTTAATCATACATTTACATAATGTTAACAAACCTAGGTACTCTAAATATGTGTTTGTTGTAGGTACCTACATATTTACATAATGCTATTCAAATCATGTATAGCTGTCATTGATTTATTTTTTATCCAAACTAGCTTAACAACAATTATTTTTAATTAATTAATGTAATTTGTGAACTGAACACAATGGCTTTTATTTAACAATACATTATCAATAACAATAAACTGTTACAAACGTTATTTAAAAATTGTGAGGCAAAATTAATTAATATTTAACCGAAGCCATTAAAGTTTACTTTTTAATTAATAAATTCAATTTAAGTATAATTTTAATTTAAGAACAACAGATGTATATTTTGAAGGGGATTTTATTAAATATTATCGATTTTCCTTTTGCGTATTTATTCCTATGATAAAAAATCAACATTAAAAGATATTTAGTCGGCGCCCGTAAATCAATTTAAATGTGAATTTAGTAAGCATCCGTTTAAGCTTAAAAATAATTTCCCTCCAAAATGAATATTCAAAGAAGGCATTTAAATGCCGCATTTATCAAAAAACAAGAAGAAAGGACCCCAAAAATTAACGCAAACTTTTAACCAAAGTATTCCTCCTTTTATTTTTAATCGCTGCTATTGCAACGCCATTTTACATTTTTAATTAACCAATAGTTATTTCACCACATTTTATTTGTACAAATTATTAATTTTACATTTGAATCGTGTACCTATAATAATTCAATCAAAAAGTTCCAGACACCAGTGATTTAATTAAAAAACTTTTCCGTAACAATTACTATAATCGGATAAAATTGTCCCTAGATATATTCCGAAAGAAACAAGTTTTACCAAGTGCGCAATTGTACGCAATTTAAATTGTTTCTCACATAACTAAACATCCCGCAGAGCATACATTTTTTTTCAGTTTACATTACGCCCATTTATAAAAGATGAGATATCTTATTTCATATATCTACAAAAGGCGCATAATATATCTTTTAAATATCTTACAGATTTCTTTTAGAAATCATATCTTTAAATATAATTATTAGTCATATTTTAGAGGACGATTTGCTGGGATATGACTAAACCCATAGGTAAATAGTAAATAAATCGTAGGAGATTATCGGGTTTTCGGTCAAATTTGCTTGATTTAACAATCCCCATAGATAGATAGTCCGATAAAAAAATAATAACAATCGCGCGACGGAAACATTTCATATCCGGTGGAAATTGTTTCGAGCTATAAGCAGATAAAAAGCGCGTGTGTGAATCATCAAGTAATTAAAATCTTCCTCGACTTTTTTATGTTTTGTTTTGTACATAAAAAGGCGTTTTTATTAAGGTATTAAAAACAATTGGGGGACTTTAATGTCTAATTGACATGTGTGTGGGTCATAGACCTCGACATACTCACCGATTTCATTGTAATTACCGTAATCATTTAAAACGCGTTAAAATATAATAAATAAATTGCATTTTGACTCGCCCTGTTTTTCTAACGACCAATAAACGCGCATTTTAATTGTAGACATTAGACAAAGGGTTTTGTGTGTTAGAATTTTAATAAAATTCGCCACGAAACCTTAAACTTAATTCGTTTGATGCTCGTAGTTAATTAAAATAAACACGGAAAGCCAAAAGGGACAATTATTTTGATGAAAGTTTTGCGAAATAACCGATAATTTAATATAAGAATACAAAACGTTATTGATCTGCCGGTAGTTCTAAAGTCAGATATGTGAACTACCGGTAGATCGAACGCGGCGGCATCTCCTTCGCGCCACGTTGCCAAGCTTACTTGCATAGAGAATCCCCTAAGAACTTAATTCCACATTAAAACACTTTTTGGTTGTAATATGATAAAATTATGATTATATTTTATGATATGGGTCGTAGTTTGTTGATAATTAGGTTTTAAATTGTTGTATTTGGGTGAATTATGTTTGTAGTTCCTAAATATGGTGTATTTTTGTTGTGTTGGCAGTTGTGGGTGGGTTTGGCATCGGTGCATCGATGTCGTTGCTTTAACGCTGGGTGGTGCAAACATAATAAACCTAAACACATCTACTGTTATTGTTATTTCCTGTGTAATTGAGTTTGATAAACTAAAAATGACATTAAATGGTGATGTTAGTGTTAATGTTGGATTAAGCGGGGTGCTTCGTTTGTCGGTGGCGTGAATAAAATGCCGGTAAAATATTCGATTGTCTGAGAGCATCCGAGAGCCAATCTTAAGATGGGCCATGCCGTTGTTTGCGTGTTTATCGCGATATTTGGTTTAGCGTGCGGCCAAAGCGACACGCTGACGACAGTTCAGTTTTTCACTAGCGACAATTTATACGAGGAGATCGCAACCACCACTGACACACCTACTTCTTCCATTCCAGTCCCATCAAAGCCCAGAAAATTGACAGTTCTGGACGTCACATCTGACAGCATCGCTCTCAAATGGGAAAACCCCGAAAAAATCAACGGCATCATCGATGGCTACCGGGTCTACTACAAGTTCAACAATTTCACCGACGTGCAATACGACAAAATTAATTATTCGCGCATCGAATCCTATGGCCATTTCAACCTCACCCGACTCAGTAAGTACTGCTACCCCAAACCTTTATTCTTCTTTATTTGTTTTATTCATAAGACAACAGGGAATACAAATTCACTCAAGGGCCTCTCATCTATTATACAAGCAACACCATCAAAATTAACAAGTATTGTTTAGTTTTTTTTAATAATCACAATTCTTTTTTATAGAAAATAATCTATAGAAAGCAATAAACCAATCAGAGCACAGTATTCTTTATTGCACCTAGTGTGCTTTGGACAATGTCAAGCTCTAATTGGTTTATTGATTATTTTCTATAAAAAGTCGCAAATGTCGAGAAATCCCCTTATTATTAGCAGCCTCTCACGTTATTGTTTACTTGTTTATAAAACTTATAATTCTCGGAAAACCAGCCGCAATCAATTAGAATTTATTAACTTTATTGCTAATAAAATAAGGTTGTTTTGAAGATTACTCACTTAACATTGAAACGTATTTTTTTTACTTTTAAATCAATAAAAACAAAATATTAAATATAGTTTGTCCCACTTAAATATACAAATCTGTTTGTTAAAACGTCAAAATTTTGACCTTAATCTTTCAAATTTGACAATAGTGGCCTTGAAAATTGTATTATTCATTTTTAATGGTTTAAAATTAAACTTGCGTTAAAATGAATCTATACTGTTCTTACAATTTCATAAATTTTGACTTTGATCTAAAAGAACTGTTAAATTGACAATTATGACCTTGAAAATGTCACGGACTTCTGCCTCTATCGTACTTAGAGTTTTATGCGCATGTGCAGAAGAATTGAAGTACTTTAAATTTTTTTATATATCTATGTATATATAATAGGGAACCTCTATTCAACCATCATTAGCCCTGAATCTAATTGATTAGATTATAATTTTTACAAATTATAACTAAAGTGACCTTGAACTGAATTAGCTATGACCTTGAAATTATAATTCAACCTTGAAGTAGATTCCACCAAGAGTTTAAATATACTAGATCCAACCAAACATATTTTTACAGAACCTGATACAGAATACAAAATATGGGTGAAGGCTTACACCCAACGCAACGAAGGCGACCCATCGGATCCGGTGGTGAACAAAACCGACATTGGCGGTCCTTCCGGACCGGATATATTGGAGTTGTCATGTCAAACTGAAGAAAGCATTCTTATTAAATGGGGCAGACCGAAGAATTTCTACCATTCCATCGATTATTACTACGTCAACATCAATGGCGACCACCAGAATTACAACCACTCTTTGAATGCCACCAAGAATTATCTGGAGATGTCGGTAAGGAAGTGAAATTTGGTCCAAGTTGGCTTAACTTTTTTCATGATTTTTGGTGATTGGTCAACAAAAAAACAAAATAAATAATAATAAACTGAATAATAGCAAGTGTTATTTTTCAATGATATATAAAATGTGAACTTTGTTACTAGATACATTGTTTTAGGTTTCTTTGAACGTGACCAAAAATGCTGCGTACCAAGTAAAAGTTCGGGCGGCCACTGTGAGCAATTACACAAATAGAATAATAATGGGCGATTTTTCACGGATAAAAACGATAAATGTGAAGCCAAACTGCGATCGGATGGAGGAATTTATGCCGCAAACAACTCACGATCTGCGGACGGGCATCATAGTGGGCATTCTTTGCGCCGGCATCGCCTTTATTTTTGCCGTCCTGGGATTCGTCTTTTGGAGGTGAGTGTCACATTTTATTATAATTCATTGTATAGATTATCTCAATTTACAAAACATGCAAATAGCTTAAAGATTATAATTTAATCGATGATTCACTCAACAATTCAATGGCATAATGAAATTAATATTCTGCATGGCTTAATTCAAACATAGGACACTATTTTCACCAAAAATATCCTTTGTTATAGCAAATATTTGCTTCTATGTTTGCGTAAGCGGGTTATCTGGTTTGTTTGAGAGTATAATTTTACGTAAATTATAAAACTAATACCACAACTTTATTTACTTATTAAAATTCAAATAATTGCATATTTTTAACACGATTTATTGGACGGAAATTAAATTCACATAACACTTTGTTGTTCACTTATCCTTATGCATATTTATAAAAAAACAAATGAGTAATGTGATTTTTAAATTTATTTCATGCTTTGTTAACTTTTTTAACGTGCAAACATTTTAACAAATTAACAAGTATTAAATAGTTTCATGAAGCCAATATTTAAAAAGATTATATGAACGTTTGTTAACTAAATTTAACTGATAAAGTGTTAAAAATTTTGCGTCCAGTGCCCATAAAACATTTTATTCTCTTTTACTGTGAAAAACATTTTAATGCCGGTAGATTCCCAAGTTAGAAATGCTAATGGAAATTCCAATAAATACAACTGTCACTTTTTGTACCTTTAACATTTCCCGTGTAATAATTTTTAATACTTTGTTATAATATTTTGCAATTATAGTAATAACAAAATCAAAGGATAAAATATTTTCTTAACATAGGTAATCATGTTTTGAAGTTAATAATAATAATAATAATAAGTCTTTATTGAAACATTTTACAATTTCAAACGGCGAAGTTCAGCGTGTTTAAAAGAAAACATCTGTTCTTCCACTTAACCGTTATTATAAAAGTTATTTTAATATTTTGAAGTATCAATAATTAAAATAATAACGGGCAATGCTAATGGTGAAAATTACTTCAAAAATGTTTATTGGGATGGTTACTTTATTTTCGTATAGATGTCGCTGTATACAAATATTTAATTTAAATAATTTTTTACATAATATTTAGTATTTCTAGGCACTCATTTATTTTTAATAGAAAAACACTTTTTAGTGGCACATTTTGAAATAGAAATTAATTTTAATTTTTAAAATTAATTAATTTACTTTGTAATAGTATAAAGAATTCTTGGGTATGTGACAACAGATTGAGTATTAATGTGAAAAAATCAAAGGCTATAATATTCGGTAGCAAGAGTCAAACTGTCAATATAAATTAAACACTATTACATGTAAATATAGATAATAAAAAATTGGATTTTGTGAAAGTGATGGGGGTACATTGGATCAAAATCTTACATTCCATGAAAATGCTATGTATACAATGAACAAAATGTCAAAAAAAGCATTTTTTCTTAAAAGAATGATTAAAAATTTAAGTTTGCAAACAAAATTATCATTATATAAAAGTTTAATTGCCCCTCATATTGACTATTGCTCCACAATCTTATCTGGTTTGCCATCCTATCGTATTCAAGAAATGCAGTGTATACCACAATGGATTGTGGTGTATACAAAACCGCTGTATGCGTACGGGTCAGTCCATGTCAACTCAACACACCCATTTTACCACACCACCTCAGATTTTCTTAAAATTTGGTATACTTATACTATGTACTAAGACTAAGAAAAATACCAATTTTTAAATTTATATCTCACACCGTTTCCGATATATGGCTATGTAAAGTTTTTAAAAACTCGCGAAAAAAGTGTGAACGTGTATTTTTTAAATTGCTCTGGAAGCTGTCCTAATTCAGCTAGAAAGCTGGGAGAGGTGTCATTTTGCAGCATTTTAAATGCTCTTTCAAATGACATACGAACGCCAAGGGTATTAATGAAAAGATTTTGTTCAAAATCCATATATATATTTTGATTCAATTTTTTTTCAAAAAGTACATAATTTAAAATTCTCAAAATATTTGTATAAATACTTAGTACTGTTTAAAAACCATATAGTAAAATATAAATGTGGGGTCTTAATGGGTTCATGTTAAAAAAAAAATATTTGTGATGCTGGTTTTTCACTTAACTAATTTTGACAATTTATCTTTAACACTAGGATAATTTTTATTCGAGGCTTTTCCAAAAGGAACATAATTTTTTACATTTAAAATATTCCTTTAAAAAGTTAGTCCAAATAGAAATTTTTAAATGAGGCATTAACTTATAATGGGTTTATTAAAAAAACATAAATTAAGATACGCTTGTTTACATATAATGTGTTACCTGGTGTTTAACTAAACATGGAACCCAAGTAGGTACTAACAACAACTAGTTTAGTATAAATTACTAACACCAACTAACCTATGTAAAAATTAAGTATTGATTTAAAAGAAGTAGGCAAATATCCCTGAAGATTGTCTTGTTTACTGATTAACTTTTGAAAATGCAATTTGAGTTAGCTTCACATCACTTCCTCCAAGAGCGTACGTTCTTCCAGTTGGTGTAACAGGATTTACTCGTGCTAGAATGTCCACAACGGAAAGCCATAGGACATCTGCATGTCTAGGGTAAGAGAATGATAATGCTGGCCCACAAGGATGAAGAAAAGTTATTTTCACTTCATCATGTTCTTCATCTTTTTCTAAAACATAGCCAAGCCACCAGTTTTTGTCATATACAGTGGTGACATAGCCTGAAACGTCTTCTAACTTCAGTGTGTCCACTGGTTTAGCCACATTCCTCTCCCAACCCTGCATTTCATCTGAAAAGTGTTTCACTAGTAGTTCTGATTTAGTGTTGGGAATAAATGCATGGAACTGTTGTGTTCCTTTAATGGTTAGTGCTTGTTTAAATTGGCTTTCCAGAAACATTTCTGAAACAGCATAATCCTCTCGAGTGGAAAAGGCAAAATCTACCTTTGGTAATTGAATTAAAAAAGGCGGGAATGTAGGCAGCCGATATTATTAGGGTTCTTAGAACCCTTATATTTTTGAAAATATTCATTTTATGTTGTTTTGTTTAAAATTTAGTTCAATATGAATCGCCAAAACAAGCGTATCACAGTAATTAAATTACACAAGTCGGGAATGATGACAGCCGATATTATAAAAAAAATACAATTGTCAGGCTTAAGCCTGATAAACGTTGAATAATGTCAAAATTAGTTAAAAGTGAAAAACCAGCATCAGAAATATTTTTTTTTAACAATGAACCCATTAAGACCCCACATTAATATTTTATTATATAATTCAGAACACTACCAAGTATTTATACAAATATTTTGAGAATTTTAAATTATGTACTTTAAAAAAAAAAATTAAATCAAAATATATATATATGGATTTTGAACAAAATCTTTTCATTAATACCCTTGGCAGTCGTATGCCATTTGAAAGAGCATTTAAAATGCAAAATGACACCTCTCCCAGCTTTCTAACTAAATTAGGATAGCTTCCAGCGCAATTTAAAAAATAAACGTTCACACTTTTTTCGCGAGTTTTTAAAAACTTTACATAGCCATATATCGGAAACGGTGTGAGATAAAAATTTAAAAATTGGTATTTTTCTTAGTCTTAGTACATAGTATAAGTATACCAAATTTTAGGAAAATCTGAAATGGTGAGGAAAAATTTCTTTTTAAAGTGTGTTGATTTGGCATGGAATGGCTCGTACGATTCTGTCCTGTAATAGGTAACAATGTTAAATGTTCTAAATTTAATGTCCGTCAAAGATAGAATCTTATTTAATGTATTAATATTTATTTATAAAATTAAAACCAAAATGTTGCCGAAATATTTACATGAAAATTTAGAACTGATTTCGGATCACCATGTATACAACACAAGAAACAGAAATGACTTTAATGTGAAACTATGCCGAACTGCGCAACTAAGAAATTTTATTTTAACAAATCGTTTAATACAATTTAATAATTTACCAAGTGAAATAAAGTATTGTGATAATTTTAATACGTTGTTAACTAATACTAAGACACTAATTGTGATCCCATTAAAATATTGTATTTGTTATATAGTTTTTACATTCTTCTATCTTGTTATTTTATTGTGTGTTTTTACCATATATTATTCCGTATTATATTTTTGTTTTACTTTTTTATTTATATCTTTTTCTTTATGTAATGTTTTTTATAGCGAATCTGCTAAATAAAGTTTATTTATTATTTGAAGAAACTGACGAATTCTTGGTATATAAAAGAATTTAATTTTTGTTAAAAAAAGAAGCTTTAAATTGGTTAATTTACTTGTTTAATGGTGCGCATGCTCGTAGTGATGTAAACAGAAAAAAAAACGTTTTGGTTTTTTTCTCAAACATGTTTTTTAGAAAAAAAAACAAAAAGTTTTTTTCAAAAATTTTGTTTTTTTCTGAAACATTGTTTTTCCTTAATATATATTATAAGAGAAAAAAATAAACCTAAAGTAAAAAAATGAAACTTTTTAAAATAAAGGTTTTTAAATAAAAATTTGTTTTTAAAATAAACATACATGAGTGAGAATTAAAACATGAAAACAATATTTATAAGAAAAAAAAAATAGGCAGCATCCAATTCTTACACGACATGTCAATGTAGGTACCTAACCTACATTACCTACTATTCAAAATATCTATAATCAGAATCAACGTCAAATTCTTCTGGTCCTTTCGACGTGTCAGTCTCGTGTACAGAAAAGTTTTCAGAGGTACCTGACAAAGAACTGTCTGAACTATAATCTAGATCAGCGGTTCTCAAACTGTAGTACGTGAGGCATCCAAAGGTGGTACGTGAATAGATAATAGATGTACTTGCCTTTAAATAAAATTATCGTTGGCTCAATTTTATTGAAAATCTATCATTTCCCACATTTTATATTGTAAATGGCAACACTGTTGTTGGTGTTTATTAAACGGGTAATCCCCTGCTCGTTTTAAAATCGTGACGAGTCGTGCGTATTTTGTTTTGTTCTGACAAATTGTTGTTTTAATACTATAAAAATTGGTTTTGTTTCACGGTTATCAATATTTCTTATTAACAACTTGTTTTATTTAGTTCGGTGGTACTCGATTAATCCACATTGCACATGAATGGTTCGCGAAAAAAAAAGTTTGAGAACCGCTGATCTATCTTTTTTAGGTATTATTGATAAGCCACTTGTACTTGGCATTTCCAAGTCAGTATCGCTAATTTCAGTGAGAGCTATATAGTATATACTTACAGTACTTGCATTATCAACAGTAGTAGTAGTAATATTTAGAGATGGGAAAATTCCCATTTGACGAAAATTCCCGGAAACTTTCCATCGAAAATTCCCGAAATTTTCCGAAAGTTTCAAAAAAAAATTTTTTATTGCGAAAATATTTTTTTTTATGCCAGGGATTTGCAAAAATATATAACACATTAACTTTTTGTCAAATTTTTGGTTGCATTAACGACATAGATTTTCTTACAGAACTTGCTTTGAGCATGGACTTGTTTTTTTGCACTATTTTGTAATAATTCAAAACACTAGATTTTTCTCTTGGCATTATGCTATGCTTATAAATAAACAACAAAAATGTAAGAATGATTTTAACTTTGTTTATTGTATTTATTTTGTTTACCTTTTTTTAAAAAGAGTTTTTTGTGTTGATGCTGAATAATCCGGCTTCATTGAGGTTATGTAACCAGGGTTGCCAGTGCCAGTGCTTTTGTACTGAAATCAGTACTTTTCAAGGTTTGTCAGTACGTCAGTGCTACTTTTATAGTTTCAGTACTTTTTGCGAAATTTCCTTCCCAAAAAAACAAAATTGAATATAATCATACAATTTGTTTGAAAGATTTGTGAAATCTTGATTGCCTATTTTGGATGCTTCTGTCATTTTCTGTCGCTGCTGCCAACCCTTGCCTTACAGCGTTGCCGGCTGCGGTGTTGCTTGTTTTCTTGGGGTTTGTTCCATTATTTCATATCAAAGGTTTCGGTGTTGCCAACTTACCAAGTAGAGCGGTGGCGTCACAATTAAAAAGCGACCTGGCAACACAGCCTGGATAAATTTGACAGTTAATGTTTTAATTTAAAACTTAAAAGTGACGGTACCGGGTTCAATTCCCGGTCACAGCCTTGGGTGTTGTTTTTCGAGCATAAAAATATATAATAATGAGCTGGCTAAATAGTCGAAAAGATTAAAAGTCAATAGACCTTAAAAAAACAAAAACTTAAAAGTGTATATAGGCTTAAAAGTAAAGAACTATCTAAATTAAATATTATATACATCTATATAGTATAATTTAGTTTAGTGCGTTGCAGGCCGTTGTGTGTTGTGATTATGTTTTAAGTATATGGTATTGTTATGTATTTCTTATGCTTATTCTAACGGTCATTATGATCCCACAGTTAAGCATGATTTATAGATTGCCTTCCTTCCTTCCTCCCGTAGAAGATGAACAGTACAAAAACCGTTGTGCAGTTTAAAGATTCCTGTACTATAAATGGTACTATCGCTAACAAAAAAAACTCATACAGCTATATTGTGGCTGTGTGAATAAAACTTTTCCGTCAATATCAAGCTGACATCGAGCTTTGTCACATCCATTATGACTTTTTTAACAACATTTTCAACCAAACAATGCAGACGAACTCTGGCAAGCCAGTGAAGCCATTTGGAACGAGATAAAGCAAGACGGCGACTTCCATGCTTTGCCGTTTGCGGGCAGTAATTGACAAAAACAGAGGGATGACGAAATATTATTTTTTTTTCAAACTTCAACCTAACTTTGTATTTAATTTTAGACCTTTCAAATGTGACGTATCATGTTAAAAGCCATAATTACTCCAACGAAATGATAGAAAATCAGGAACGCTAGATTTTTAAGCTGTATGAGTTTTTTTTGTTAGCGATAGTACTACGATTTTCGTATTGTTCATCTTTTACGGGAGGAAGGAAGGAAGGCAATCTATAAATCTTTATACTTTAAGTATGTGGTTGCAACGCCCCCACCCGCCATTATGGGCGATGAACGTGTACTACAATAAGAAACGAGGTGTACGTCAAAATATTAACATCTTGTATTTTTTTTGAAAACAGTACTTTTTTATTAAAATCAGTACGTTTTTCATTCCAAATCAGTACGGAAATTTTTCGTGCTCTGGCAACGCTGTATGTAACATAACTTACATTATTTATACTTCTTCTTCTGCTTTAAATTAACACAAATTAAATTCTTATTCAAAGTTTCTTGGCCTTGTATCATGGCCTTAACGAAAATCAGCGGTTAAACAATTGACATTTAAATGAAAAAAACAAGGAAAGTTTCCAAGGAATGTTTCCGGTAGCTTAAAAGAAACTTTCAAAATGAAAATAAATTCCCAATTGAAAACTTTCCAAAACGGAAAGTTTCCTTAAAATGGAAACTTTCCGATTCCCATCTCTAGTAATATTATCTGTGCCTATGTCTTTCTTTGCAGTTTCGGATTTCAGTTTCAGGTAATGGGCAATGTATAATAATAATATTTTGGCTGCTCTTTGTTTTTTTTATAATTTGAAAAACAAAAAAAACGCTGTTTTAGTTATTTTGAATTTGTTCAATGTGAGTTTTTTTCTGCAGGAAATGTTTCCACGCCTCCTACTATTACCTGGACGATCCGCCTTGCTGCGTGCCCACCGCCTCCCTGGATTGGAATTCGCCGCCGAATCCGAACAGCGACGGCGAGATGGATCACAAGGGCGCCATTCCGGTGCAGTTGTTCGCGCGGCACGTTCAAGAACTGCACGCCGACGGCGACATCGGATTCAGTAAGGAGTACGAGGCGATCCAAGCCGAAGCGACTACGGACGAGCACGAGTCGGAATTCTCTCAGCATCCCGACAACAGGGCCAAGAATCGCTACCTCAATATTATCGCCTGTAAGTTTGTGGGTTGCATTTTCTTTAACAAAGTTGTTACTTGCTTCATTTGTAGACGATCATAGCAGGGTTCAGCTGTTACAAATGCCCGGTCAAAAGAAGAATATCGACTACATAAACGCGAACTACATCGATGGATTTCAGTGGTCGAAGGCTTACATCGGCACCCAAGGCCCTTTACCCTCGACCTTCGACTGCTTTTGGCGCATGGTCTGGGAACAAAGAGTCAATATTATCGTTATGATAACCAATCTAGTTGAAAGGGGACGGGTAAGTTTTTTTTCGGTTGAACTTTGATAAAAAGTGACTTTTTATTTTCTATTGCAGAGGAAGTGTGATATGTACTGGCCGAAGGAGGGGAGCGAGACCTACGGCATCATACAAGTAAAGTTAGTTAAGGAAGACATAATGGCAACATACACAATAAGGACCCTGCAGATTCGCCATCTTAGAGTGAGTATTGCATAGTAATGATTGAGTAAACCTTTTAGATGCTAATGTATTTTGTGGCGTAGATAAAAAAGAAGAAACCATCATTGACTGAAAAACTAGTTTATCAATATCATTATACCAATTGGCCAGACCACGGCACCCCCGATCACCCACTGCCCGTACTTCATTTTGTTAAAAAATCAGCTTTATCCAACCCCCCTGACGCAGGTCCAATTATTGTTCACTGCAGGTACATTCGCCAAGTAAATCGCCTTTAACATCGCATTAATAATTTTGCTTTTGTGTGCTCGCTTAGCGCCGGGGTGGGTCGAACCGGAACCTACATAGTGCTAGACGCGATGCTCAGGCAGATACGCAGCCGGGCGGAAGTGAACATCTACGGTTTCCTGCGTCACATCCGCTCGCAACGCAACTTCCTCGTGCAGACCGAGGAGCAGTACATCTTTATACACGACGCGCTAGTCGAGGCCATCGAGTCGGGAGAGACCAACATTTCCAAGGACAACTTCCCGCGCTACGTCCGAGCCCTCAAAGGAAACTGCATTGATGAAAGCGAGCAATGGAAGCCCCTCGACGTCCAATTCAAGGTAACAACCCAACAAATATTTATATAACTCTTATATACCTCTTAAAGAGCTTATTTGGGGAGTTTATGAAGGTTATCGGTACTTATTTTAGTAACGTTATAAAACCCAAGTTTTATAACTAGAGATAACAGGAATATTATGGAAACCGCTATAAAACATCCTAAAGATTTACTACCGCCTTTTTTTCTTCTTTTAATATTTCTTTTTTTAAAAATGTCAATTTAAGTTGATTATCTTAAGAATGTTAACTGGATATAGCCTAAGTTTACATTCTTAATACAGCAAAAGTAGACATTTTTAAGACAGTTATATCCAGCTTAACCTAAGTTGTTGAGACTTTTACATAAGCTTTTTATGACATTCATAGGACAGTTATTTCCAGATTAAATTGACATTCGTTAACCAGTTAAATTAATAGACATCTACAGTTGAAAATAACTGTTTTAAAAATTTCAATTTAAGTTGATTGTAACTCTTAAGAATGTCAACTGGATATAGCCTAAGTTTACATTCTTAATACAGTTAAATCCAGCAAAAGTAGACATTTTTAAGACTGTTATATCCAGCTTAACCTAAGTTGTTAAGACTTTTACATAAGCTTTTTATGACATTCATAGGACAGTTATTTCCAGATTAAATTGACATTCGTTAACCAGTTAAATTAATAGACATCTACAGTTGACAATAACTGTTTTAAAAATGTCAACTGGATATAGCTTAAGTTGACATTCTTAACACAGTTATATCTAGCAAAAGTAAACATTTTTAAGACAGTTATATCCAGCTTAACCTAAGTTGTTAAAACTTTTACATAAGCTTATTATGATATTCATAGGACAGTTATTTCCAGATTAATTTGACATTCGTTAACCAGTTAAATTAATAGACATCTACAGTTGAAAATAACTGTTTTAAAAATGTCAATTTAAGTTGATTATAACTCTTAAGAATGTCAACTGGATATAGCCTAAGTTTACATTCTTAATACAGTTATATCCAGCTTAACCTAAGTTGTTAAGATTTTTACATAAGCTTTTTATGACATTCATAGGACAGTTATTTCCAGATTAAATTGACATTCGTTAACCAGTTAAATTAATAGACATCTACAGTTGACAATAACTGTTTTAAAAATTTCAACTGGATATAGCTTAAGTTGACATTCTTAACACAGTTATATCTAGCAAAAGTAAACATTTTTAAGACAGTTATATCCAGCTTAACCTAAGTTGTTAAGACTTTTACATAAGCTTATTATGATATTCATAAGACAGTTATTTCCAGATTAAATTGACCTTCGTTAACTAGTTAAATTAATAGACATCTACAATTGACAATAACTGTTTTAAAAATGTCAAATTAAGTTGATTATAACTCTTAAGAATGTCAAAGAATGTCAACTAGATATAGCCTAAGTTTGCATTCTTAATACAGTTATATCCAGCAAAAGTAGACATTTTTAAGACAGTTATATCCAGCTTAACCTAAGTTGTTAAGACTTGTTAAGCTTATTATGACATTCATAAGACAGTTATTATTTCCAGATTAAATTGACATTCGTTAACCAGTTAAATTAATAGACATCTACAGTTGAAAATAACTGTTTTAAAAATGTCAATTTAAGTTGATTATAACTCTTAAGAATGTCAACTGGATATAAGTTTACATTCTTAATACAGTTATATCCAGCAAAAGTAGACATTTTTAAGACAGTTATATCCAGCTTAACCTAAGTTGCAGATTTTTACATAAGCTTTTTATGACATTCATAGGACATTTATTTCCAGATTAAATTGACATTCGTTAACCAGTTAAATTAATAGACATCTACAGTTAACAATAAATGTTTTAAAAATGTCAATTTAAGTTGATTATAACTGTCTTATGAATGTTAAGAAATAAAACTTAAATTGACAATTTTAATACAGTTATATCTAGCAAAAGTAGACATTTTTATGACAGTTATATCCAGCTTAACCCAAGTTGCAGAGCTATGTCGGTGAAATTAGACAAAAGTTGCGTAATGACAAGTCTATCAAAATGGCATAAAAATTGGGAAAAAATCAGAGGTTCTCAAATAATTTGAAAAAAACTGAAAACCTGCCAAAACCAAAAATCTTTGTAAAATTTTGGTTGAATTTCACATTTAAGCATTTTATCTACATTTTCATCCAATTTTTTATTTTTTCGCCTACTGTATTTTGAGATATCCACAGTCTTTTGTTCTTGCTATGGCCGCCAATTGGAATTTTACATGGTTAGATAGAAAAATATATCAAGGAATCCAACGATGTATTAAACTGCATACATTATGTCGGCCATTATAAAAACAAAAGATGGTGATGACAACTCAAAACATAGTAGAGAAAAAATTGGATGAAAATGTAGACTTAACTCACTCTCTCTTGCTTATGTCCAGTCATTAATTCTTACGCTACAAATATGATTCTCTCTACGTCACGTTCACGCGTCTCCAATTTCCCGGGAATCTTGTACCGCAGGGCCATAGCATAGATGCATACACATCAAAAATCTTTTTGTTTTGCGTTTCAGTTGGTGACGAGCTTCAAGTGCAAAGATTTCAACGTGGTGTCGGCAAACAAAGTGATAAATCAGCCAAAGAATAGGATAAGGGAAATAGTGCCGGTGGAGAGCTCGCGCGTGCATCTCACCCCGAAGCCGGGCGAGGATGGCAGCGATTACATCAACGGCACCTGGATCCAGGGTTTCCACAGCCTGCGCGAGTTCATAATCACGCAGCATCCGCTGCGCGCCACCTTCAAAGACTTCTGGCAAATGGTCTGGGACCACAACGCGCAACTCATCGTGATGCTCAGCATCGTGGATAACCAGGACTTCCACGTTTTCTGGCCCGTCGAGCAGGACACCATCGACACCGACTCCTTCAAAGTCAAGCTGGCCAACGAACAAATACACGGCGCCTACTTGACGCGCGACTTTCTCATGCAATCGCTGCAAGACGATTACGAGATACGCATCAGAATGGTGCACGGCAACAATTGGCCGCACAATGGCGGATCCATCAACGACATCTACCAAATACCCAACACTGTTCTGGAGAGCAACATTCATAATGGACCAATCATCGTTGTCGACAAGTAAGCAAACCACATTATTATGCGCACTAAATCCTTATAACTCGTCGATTTTTATGCGCAGATAAATATTTGTGTTTTTTTCTTTTTTACAATAAAGTAAATTTTGTCAATAATCAACATTGATAGTCCAATTTTGAGCTCCTGACAATAATTTTAATAATGTGAAAGTTTTTACATTAAAAAAGCATGTTTTGTTTGATTGAAGCCCCACATTAAAGTATCCTATTGTTTCACAATTTATTTTCCTAGGAAATTGATGTTTTTTGACTTAGGAGAAAAAAGTGAATACAATTTTGGTTGAAAATTTAGTCTTGGCAAAAAAACTCTTAAATATTTAAAGTTATAAAACTTTTTTAGCAAAAATTGATTTAATTTATAAATATATTTACATAAGCTTAAGATGACTTTCGTAAGACAGTTATTTCCAGAATTAATTAACATTCGTTAACCAGTTAAATGAATAGACATCTACAATTGACAATAACTGTCTTAAAAATGTCAATTTAAATTGATTATAACTGTCTTAAAAATGTCAACTGGATATAGTTTAAGTTGAGATTTTGAATACAGTTATATCTAGAAAAATTAGTCATTTTTAAGACAGTTATATGCAGGTTAACCTAAGTTGTTAAGACTCTTACATAAGCTTAAGATGACATTCATAAAACAGTTATTCCCAGAATTAATTTACATTCGTTAATTAGTTAAATTAATAGACATCTACAGTTCACAATAACTGTTTTAAAAATGTAAATTTGAGTTGATTTTAACTGTCTTAAGATTGTCAATTAGATATAGCTTAAGTTGACATTCTTAATACAGTTATATCTAGCAAAAGTAGACATTTTTAAGACAGTCATACCCAGCTTAACCTAAGCTGTAAAGACTTTTACATAAGCTTAATATGACATTCATTAGAGAGTTATTTCCAGAATTAATTGACATTCGTTAACCAGTTAAATGAATAGACAGACATCTACAGTTGACAATAACTGTTTTAAAAATGTCAATTTATGTTTATTATAACTGTCTTAAGAAAGTCAACTAGATATAGCTTAAGTTGACATTCTGAATACAGTTATATCTAGCAAAAGTAGACATTTTTAAGACAGTTATATACAGCTTCACCTAAGTTGTAAGCTTAAGATGGCATTCATAAGACAGTTATTTCTAGATTAAATTGATATTCGTAAACATTTTTAAGACAGTTATATCCAGCTTAACCTAAGTTGTTAAGACTTTTACATAAGCTTAAGATGACATTCATAAGACAGTTATTTCCTTATTAAATTAATAGACATCAGCAGTTCACAATAACTGTTTTAAAAATGTCAATTTAAGTTGATTATAACTGTATTAAGAATGTCAATTAGATATAGCTTAAGTTGAGATTCTTAATACAGTTATATCCAGCAAAAGTAGACATTTTTAAGACAGTTATATCCAGCTTAAGTTTAGACAGATATATCTAGCCTAAGTTGACATTATTAAGACAGTTTTGGCTAGCTTGAGTCAACATCCTTAAAACAGTTATTAGGGTGTCCGTTATTTACCAAGTTGATTTTTTTTAACTGTTCAGTTTGTACACTAAAAAAATATAAAATCAAAAAAAGTTCTTAATTTTAATATTAAACCTTGCCGAAAACACGATACATTTCCCCTTTAATTATTTTTTTTTTTTTTACTTTAAACGTTTAATTTTTTTTCTTAAACAAGAATATCCAATAGAAATTAAACGTTCTACAAAAAATCTTTCTTACCAATTTACAGACACCCTAATATCTGTAGACATAGATTTGAAGTTTACATTCTGCGCATCATCAAGTTTCTTACTGCGCAGCTGCTCGAAACTAAACACTTGTTTTTTTTGGTAGGTACGGCGGGACTGAGGCAGCGACTTTCTGTTGCCTGACAACATTGAAGAAGCATTTGCTGTACGACGACAAGATCGACGTGTACATGTACGCGAAGTTGTATCACAACAAAAGACCGGGCATATGGGCGTGCATGGACGATTATCTGCGTTTGCACTTGGCCGTGCAGACGCTGTGCTGTCCGCCGGAGGACGGCAACGTCGCCGTCACGGCCACCCAAGGCCCCGACATATTTCCCACGGCCAACGGCACGATCAACGGCTCGGTGGCCGTTTCCGCCGACTGCGTTCGGGTGTCGCCCGAAGGCATGGAGTCCAACCTCGAGCCGCGGCTCTAAGTTTTAAATATTATTATTGCTTTCTATCGAAACGGGGCTTATCGAAAAACGGCCACGGTGTTTCCATTTCGAATTGTAAAGTCTTCGAAATGAAAGCACCCACACGCGTATAGTCGAAAATAATTAATTAGAAATAAGCAATAAATCGAACAGGGTTGAATTAAAATAAATTACAAAAGAAACGCAACGGTAAGTTGACTACTCAGTGCACGCGAACAAACAGTTAATTATTATTGTTTACCAGTGACTTTGACTTCGACTATGCGCCGTTGATTGCGCCTTAAATTAACCATTTTTATACCTATATGTGATAATTGTAAATGTTTTAAACTATTTAAAATGTCGTCGTCGGAACTTTTTTTCGTCGCGTCGTTGCGTCATTGTTACTGACAGATTTTTGCACGAGCAACAAATTAATGAAAACGTTATTAAATGTCAAAGACGTCACTTAGCCAATTTCTCCCAAAACCGATAACATGCCAGTTGATATTTTTTTTAATTGTTGCATACTGTTTTTAACAATGCTACTACATGATATTTTTAGTACCCTTGAATTTTATTAACATAAAATAAATAAAATAATACCTATTTTTTTAGATCTGAGGCTACAATTGTTGGAGACACTAGAGACATCTTAAGGGATTAAACTAAAACTAGTTTCTCCCTGAAGGTGTCTCTAGTATTACTTACATACAGTCGAAACCGGGGTTCGCCTGATTTAAATCAACGATTTAAATCAATGATTTAAATCGGTTTTTAAAAAAGTTTCTAAAATTTAAAAAAACACTTAAAAGATCTAAAAGTAAAGCACAATAATATCTTGACACTATTTAAATAAATTCATATGCATAGAAAAACTGCTTATTTTGTTAAACAAAATAATAAAGGAATAGTTTTTACAAAAAAATATACGACAGTTGCGGACGGTGGTTTATTTGTTTATAAAGTAGTGCCAATATAATATTATAGTCAAGTTAGTATTTCTTTTAATAGTACACTTTAATATTTAAAAAAATCAAAATTATTTTTTTTTGATTTTCTTTGATTTTTTTAAATAAAAATCATTGATTTTTTAAAATAAAAATCATTGATTTTTTTTTTAATCATGATTTTTTCGAACCCTGGTTCAAGGGGTATTGTTTTATTTATTTTAGGCCAATCAAATGTACCCAAATTAGGGACAATTCCAATATTTTTATCTACAGGGTGCACCAAGGATCCTTCTATGTATGGGTATCTTTTTTATTTAGTTACAAAGGTAAGTTAAATTAGACAATAGTTGGTTAACTACAAGTCCATTAAAATGGCATATAAAAATAAAAAAACATTATTTATGGAAATTTAAATAAAAAAATAAGTTTTACATGTGATTTTTTTTTGCTAACTAGACTTTGAGAACCAGCACCGTCTTTTGTTTTTCCTATGGCCGGCATATTGAAATTTTACATGGTTAGATAGAAAAAATTAAGGGATCCAAACTACATAAGTTATGGCGGCTATTATAAAAACAAAAGATGGTGATGGTAACTCAAAACATATTAGCAAAGAAATCGGATGATTTAACATGTAAAAATTACTTTGTTTTAAAATTCCCAGGTACAACAAGTTTATAAGGAGTTCTGTTTTTTAATAATTTGAAATATCGCCACCGCACATATTTGGATACTTAGTACACCCTGTACATTATTTACTAAAAACATAGTACCAAACAAAACTAAACAAACATTTGCTGTATGAAGCTAAATTGTAGCTTCAAATTTTTCAATTTATATACATATAATATATACAAGACTGGTAAAAGTGTTATTAAACCATTTTTCGTTCCTAGAATTTTAGAATTTTTATTTAATTTATTGTGTATAATAATTGTTTAGATTATTAGTTAATAGTGATTGTTAGTGTATACGCGACTGCTTTAGAACTTTTTTATTGTGTAATTTTAAGCAGTATTACAATGTTGTTTAGTTTTTGATATGTACTGCTAATAATAATTTCATGGAATCTTTTTATCTAATATTAAGATCATTTAACTTGCTTTAGCCTTATCTACACACCGCTTTAGTTCTATATTTTATTTTAGTTTTTATTTTACGTGTATACTCATTTTTAAATGGCTGCTTTTTAAACTCTTCATATTCGAATCACATTCCTTCAGCAGTGTTAACAAATAATAAATGTGGCAAAACTCCTTCTGTTGAACTTCCTCTTTAAAAAACTAGGTAACTAAAATTCATACAAACATAGAGATGTTTTAGATGTGATACTTTCCCCCGCTTTTTTACGTTAATTTTAAGTAGAACTGTAAGTGTTTAATAAACAAGAAAATAAAATTGAGCAGCTGAAACATGCTGAAAAGGCCATCCTGTAACGTAGCAGTAGAATGAATGTATAATTTTGATGTTAATAAGGCAAAATGTTATTTATGTTGCAGGTAGAAACAAAACTTGAATGTGTCTATTATTTGCACTTGGTGCAATATCTATATTTTAACGTTAATTGACTTTTTAAAAAAGTGAAACGCACTTAAAACAACTGTGTTCTTTAAACAAGTTTAGCAATTAAAATCGCATAAAAGCCCTATTCATTAAATTATTACATCCAAATTTTAACTAGTCGCGCATCATCAGCATTTCTCTTTTTTAAAGAAATCTCTTAACAGTCCATTACCCTTGTACAAAATTCCCTTTATATCCTAATAATAGATTGTATAGAAAATTGTATAGTGTACTATTGTATGAAATTTATAAAATATAATTGGTAATAAAGATCAGTAGAAAATTATGTAAAATCTCCAATATAATTTATACTTTTATTATTGTTTTATCAATGTATACAATTTTTTTGTAAGTTTTTTTTATTTATGAATAAATTATTTATTTATTGATCGTTCGTTATTTAAACCTCATTTCATGAAATTTAATGAATTTGTAGCTTTACTACTTTATGGTGTTAAAATTTTTCAAAGCAAATAAATAAAAATTCTCACTAAAATAAACCGCATGTGTCAAAATTTGTAGTTATGGTCATTTTCGTGATAGTAATCCTAATTTTAAAAATTGACTAATTTTGCCCAAAAAATACGATTTTTTTGCTAAAAACATGATTTTTAAAAGAAAAAACTAAAATGTCTATTATTTAATTATGCCAGTAAAGATACTCTTAATAAAAATCATTTAGGACTTTTTATACTATTCTTTAGTAATTTTGTTCCTGTGTTGTCACAATGCACGTTTTACACTTTCTTACAACCTGCGAAAAATCTTTAACCTTGACGCGCGTGCGCACAAATCCTAACCTGTATTTCATCTGTCAGATTGATGTTTGTATTGATTTAATTGGATGTTTTCGCAATATATTAATTTAGAAAAGTGCAAAGTATGGCAAATTCGAAGAACGAGCTGGATGCTGAAATCGAAAATGTCAGGGTATTTATCAGGGTGCGCCCTTTAAGCAAAAAAGAACAGGCTGAAGGTTATTCGAATATTGTTTTACTGGATACTAAGGAAAATCTGATTGTTTTGAAGAAGAATGGGGAGAACACGAAGCCCTTTAAGTTTGATCAGATATTCAGCGAGAATTCTGTTCAGGTATTTGTTTAAGTATACACTGAAAAGTATAAAAAAATATAAAAAACTGTTTTAGTTGGATTTATATCGTATGATAGCATACCCTATAGTGGAGAAAGCTTTGCAAGGTTACAATGGCACTATATTTGCTTATGGGCAAACAGGTACAGGAAAAACATTTACAATGGCTGGAAATCACTTGAAACCTGAAGTTAGAGGGATCATCCCAAATACCTTTTCCCACATATTTGGGCAGATTTCAAGGGCTAGTGGGGAAAAGTCTTTTGTAGTTACAGTAACATACTTGGAGATATACAATGAAGAAGTAAGGGATTTATTGTCGAATGATCCAAATAAAAAGTTAGCTATTAGAGAGAGAACTGATGTGGGTGTATATGTTAAAGACTTAATGGGTTTTACAGTCGATTCCATTGAGGCTATTACCGAATTACTTAATAGGGGTAACAAAAATAGAGTTACCAGATCAACTTTAATGAATGATGTCAGTTCCAGATCACATGCCATTTTTACTATATGTATTGAATCTAAGAATAGAATTGACAACAAAACTATTATAGGAAAATTGAATCTAGTCGATTTAGCTGTGAGTATATAATTTTTTTAACTGTATCTTTGTATAACAGTTTTTATAGGGTTCTGAAAGAGCCAGTCGTACACAAGCAACTGGGGAGAGGCTCAGGGAAGCAAGCAATATTAATTTATCATTATCAGTGTTGGGAAATGTTATTTCGGCATTGGTTGATGGAAAGTCTAGTCATATACCTTATAGGAATTCAAAATTGACAAGGTTATTACAGGATTCCCTGGGAGGAAATTCGAAAACAGCCATGGTAGGTTTTTTTGATTATTTTTCATCACATTTCAATCTATCATTTTAGATTGCAATGTTAAGTCCTGCTGACGTGGATTATGAGGAAAGTATTTGTACTCTGCGCTATGCAGCGAGAGTAAAACACATCCAAAATCATGCGAGAATTAATGTGGAGCAAAAAGGTCTCATTGAAGGTTTTGAGCAAGAAATAGCCGTTTTACAGCAAAAGGTTCTGCTGCTTAATCTTCAAGAGCAACAAAAGGAGGCCAGGCAAAGGAAGAAGGAAAAAGACAAGGTTACGTCTGAAGCGAAACAGAAAGAAATCAAGAAGTGTGAGGAGGAACTACAAAAAACTGAGTATGAGTGTTAAACCAAATATATCAAACAATTATAATAATGTAATTTATATTTTAGGAAAGAGAAGGGCGATCTTATGTCAAAGATATCAATGATACAAAAGAGAATTCTGGTTGGTGGCGAAAACCTCTTTGAAAAAGCCCAACTACAAGTTTGTCTATTGGAATCTTCTGGTGTGGAATTGGAAAATCTTGACAAAGCCCACAGAGAACTTGAAGAAACGCTCAATAAAAAAGCAGCAGAAAAAATCGACGTTGAAGAAAAATATTCATCGCTTCAGGAAGAAGATTTAGCTTTAAATAAGAAAATTAAGAAAATACAGTCACTTTTGAACGAAGTAAGGGAAGAATATGCTGATAAAGAACATGAATACCAAAGAGAAATAGAGGCGCTACTTGATAACCATAGATTATTAGTCAAAGAAACACAACTTGCCAATTTAATGATTGACAAGTATATTCCGTTGGAATATTTTGTAAGTAGTTCGTTTAAACCACGTGTTTTGAGAAATCTTAAATTTTACATTTTTCAGAAAAAAATTGAGGCCAATTTAATATGGAATAGCGAGACTCAGGAATACCAAATGAGAGGGGTAGCCTATACAGGAAACAATATGAAAAAACGACAAATGGGCAACATTGAAATATCGGCTCCGGTAAAATTCGAAATGAAAAATATTTACCACAAATACCCCGACAAGAAAAAGGAAAGAAAATTAATGTATGATAAAAGAACAATATCGGCACCAAAAGCGCATTAACTTAATTTAAATGAAGTATTAAATATATATAAAGCTTATTTTACACAAAAAGCTAATTATAAAATGTTGTGATTATTGTAGATTTTATTATTTATTTTTATTTGTTGTCTATACAATTTTTAGTTGTACATTTTTAAAGCACAAATAAATAGTAATATAACAGTATAACAGTTGTTTTATACAAAAAGTTAAATCTGATCGATATGCGGGGCCACTGTCATTTTAAAAGGACGCATTCTAGACCTAAATATAACTGTCTTAAGAATGTTAATTTAAGCTAGAGACTACAACTTTTTTAAGTATAGAAATTTAATGAAGTCGATCTTTTTTAAATATTTTAATCATCTGGAATCGCCTCTACGATACCATATTTATCACTATAAAACGTAGGAAGAAAACAATAATTAAAAAAGGAGCTAACTGTAGTTTATACTATTCTCCGCTAGATGACGCTCGCGGCAGCAAAACAAATTTTCAGTATCGGTTGTCAAAGTTTGAGGTTAATAATGTTTTCGTGGATTATTTTTAGTAAATAAATGTTAATTTCATAATTAAAAAAACGCAGAATTCAGAGTTAATAATTCTTTACATTCCAGTTATATTAAAATGGTAAGTTTTTAAAAGTTAATTTATTTCAAATTCAATATAAAATATTTTTAGAAATTTCGTTTTTGCGGGGATGCCGATTGCCCTGATTGGGTATTGGCAGAAATAAATACTTTATCAAGATTATCCTCAGTTAAAGTAAAATTATTAAGTCAAGTCGTAGCCATGGGCTTAATAAATCCACCCTTCGATGTAAGTTGGTTGTTTTTAAAGTGGGCTTGTATAGTAAAATTCAATTGTTTTTAGATGGAAAAAGCTGAAAAATTGTTTGCAGATTCTAAATTAGGTAATTAACAAGTTTTTATTTTTATTTACTATAACACTTTTTTTTTGATAATGTATTTGTAAAATGTAAACAATAGACAAAATATTCTATACCTATCTATTATTTCAGATAGCGATATCGATTTAAAAGCATGCATTGCCTGCTTAACTTATATAATAACATCGGCGACTCGATTTAATTGCGATAGCAGCGCTCTTCATAGCGAATTACAACAACTTGGTTTACCGCGGGAGCACAGTACTTCTATAAAACGTGTTACCGATGATCAGATAACCCATTTAGCAGCCAAATTTCGTAGTTGCTCCCTTAAAGGTTTGTTAACAATTCGTTCTATGAGCTCTTAACAATTACTTTATCCAATAACATGGGGTTTCCATTTTAAATCGACCAGGTAGGTTTACATTATGTAAAAGAGAATTATTTTTAAATGTTTTATAAAACTTAAACATCATGATGCATATATGCTTATAAGATGTTTTAAGAATAGTTATTTATTTCAGGTACATTTCGTACATTACCTTTTGGAAAATCTGTATTAAAAGCATAAACTCTTTTACCTGCAGGTTAATATGGAAACACAAAGTTTTTATTAATAGGGGGTTTCTTGAAAATTGTCACTTTACTTTCTATAGAATATGATCTCTATAGAAAGCAATAAACCAATCAGAGCAGAACATTCTCCACAGCACACTAGGTGCGATGGAGAATACCAAATTTTGATTTTTTTACAGTAAATCCATTGGAAAATGTGTCTGTTAATATCGATCCCGAAGTAAAATGTTTGGTGATGGATTTGAAGATTAATAATAAAGAAGAAAAAGTAACTTTAAACCCACACACTTTAAATGTACTTCTTGAAGAGTTAAAAAAAGTTAAAAGCACTATGGACGAATTACAAGAAGTGTATATGTAATGTAATAAAAAAATTAATAATACATTTGTTTTCATTTAAAATTGTTTAACCTGATTCTAAAATCCTGATTTGTTGAGAGGTAAGTAAAAAGAAAAATGAAGGTTTAATTTTGCGTATAAAAGGATATAAAAGGTTGTCAGCGTATAATGTAGCAAGTTAAAAGAGGGATAAAATGGGGAATGGCTACAAACTGGCCATATGGATGTATCTCACTTCATTTGTGTGCCTTTTGGTCGGTGAGGGTTGTCGGATATTAATTCTGTCACAAAGTAATTGAACGTTTTAAAGAACAATTGATAATCTCCTTTTTCCCTACCCTATTGACTTCTGAAAGTCCGAATTTATGTTTTGTAAATACGGCATTATGATTATTGGACACCAATTAAGATTAGGGATTACTTACTTAACAACATGCGACATATTTGTTTAAATTAAGTACTACTAATTACCTAAAGGGACGACTTTCTAATTTTAAAAAATAACATTTGTTTAAAAAAAAGAATGACAGAAATACGGTATTTGACGCTAAACTTAACTGGCTTGAGAATGCCACTTTTAAGCTAGATATAACTGTCTTAAGATTGGCATATTTAACTTCCCTGTTAGCCGAAACCGTTTGGCCCCGTCCGGCGAATGTTTTCCGTTGCATCATCAATTTTAAATGTCAAAAACCGGTTTGTCAACATACGTCCGGCATACATCCCACATACGCCGCGGCGACTATACAATAAAAACAGCTAATTGTAATAGGGATATGAATATATTCTATGGGTTCAGTCCTTTAAATGTCCTCTGAAGTCTCAAGAGTTATTCTTGAGAAAATCCTCAGAACTGCACGATACTAAATATCGCAACCCATACCTATATGTAGTTAGCTAGCCTGCATAAGCAGCGGTGAGATGTACCGCCTATGCAGAGCGGGGGCCGCGGCCGGCCGAATGTTTTCCCAAGCATCATTTTTGGTTTCAAAAATCATTGCTAAAGTAGTGATAACTTTAAATTAGTTAAGTATACTAAACAGCTACTTTAATTTTTACTTAAAAGTAATTCTAACTTTTAAATAGCAATATTTTGTAACGGAAACTTCATTATTTCCTTAAATGGTTACTATAAAGTAATAAACATTTAAGTAAAACTTGGTTGCCCCCAAGAAGACTTTGCAACTTTAAAAAAGGTGTTAAAAAAACCTTCAAGTAAATTTAATTTGTAGCAGTTGCTTTCGGTTAATACCTAAAGATTATATTATAATTATTTTTACTTTGTAGGTAGTCCCTTTGCAACTTAAAATTTCGAAACTGGAACATGACTTAAAAACTACAAAGTTAATAACTTAAAAGTTATTAATTTAGTATTTGGAACGTTTATGGTACTAACCAAAACTACCGTAAAGTAAATTAAGGTAGAAAAAAACTACTTCAAAGGAAAATGCTTCTTATCGGCCATTTTTTACTGTACAGTACCACGTGATAATGTAAATAATAAATTACCTATTTTAATTGTTTGTTTGTTGGTAAATGGTTTTTAATAATTAGTAATTTTGTTGGTAATAGACGGTATTAATAATTAAATAAAAAATTAATAATAAATATTAAGATTTTGTTTTATTTATAAACATTAATAAATAATTTGTTTATACTTAAATATTGATGAAGCGCATTTATTTTACAAAAATTAAATTCATAAGTTCAACTGTAAAATTTAAAGGGTTTATAAATTTACCTGCCTAATTAAACAATATATTGTTATTCTGTCCGTAGTAGTTCCATTTAAAAAAGGAGGGGTAGTATAATTTAATATAAGTTTGAAAAAGACAGTTAATATAGAAGTAAAAACAAATAAATAAAAGTAATTATAACGCTCTAGCAACGATATTGGAACGTTCTAGTAACGTATACTGCTATAGCAGCTACGTTCCAAATAGAAGCAGGCTTTATAGCTAGTGACATATTTGTTACCTTTTTGGAACTCAATAATTGTTTCCCACTTTAGTCGTTCAATAGTCCCATATACGTAACAAATACTTAAATTAATTTAAGTATTTGTTACGTTACAATTGTTGCTTGGGTTAAGAATGACATATAAATTTCTCAAGGATGATAAATTTCTCAAGGATGATAAAGAAAAATAAAATACCTATTGTTTCACACATTTATTTAATTAAGATTTTCTTCAATATCAACTAAAGCAGTGAAATTCATGACAAACTCATTTTTACATGTGACAGTTGGTACTATTTTTACTTTCCAAAATGGTAATCCAGGAAAATCTAAAAGTCTTACTGGAAAATTTTTCACAATGTAAACTCCTTTTTTTAGTGGACAGGAAAGGTAATTTTTAAAAAATGGAGGATCGAAAGGAAATAACACCTTTAAGTCTTTGTCAATTACATCACATGCATTCCTTTTTATTACTATAGCTGTTGGTTTATAGTGATTATCTGCCCATTTGTAAACTCTTACAAGAATCTGAAAAATTCAATTTTTATTTTCAATTGTTTGTTTTTTAACAATTAAAAAACTGGAAATACAACGATAAATTAATTTGGGTATTTTATACCCAAATATAAACAAAATCAAAGAACTTTGTTACCTCAAAGGGTCTCCCAGGCCAGTCCTTAAATAGCTCTGTCGTTACATTTAAATAACCAGCTGTTGTTCTTTTTCCCAAAGTCACTTCAAATTTTCCATATTTTGGATTAACATGCACGTCTAGAGAATTAATCACAATATGGGTGTCATGTGACTAAAAAACAATAAAAATATTCCCATATATACAATTTATTTAATATATTTACTTTGGTTTTACATAAACCCACGTATATAATAATAAGTAAGTATTTTTTTAAAAGCATATTAGTAGTACTTAGTTAAAAATTATTATAAAAAAATTCTATAGAATTAGCTATTTATATACATACCTACACATTGTTTTTAAAGTCATGTTTAAACGCCCTTAAATTCGAACAGCGTGAAATTATTTTATTATATTTTAGTTATTATAACTGGGAAATTAAATAAAAATATATATAGAGATACACTATCTTGATTTACGCATGAATTAATTGTAATTCAAATTAAAAAAAATAATAATTAAAATGGTTGTTGTCAGTCAAAATAAATGCCCATATTCGAAATTCAATTTAAATATAGTGAATTTTGACTTATAATGTTGGTACCACCTTATTTACGTCATTTCCTGCTCAACCGTCTTAGAAAAAAGTAGTAGTTTAGTAAAAAGTTGTTTTTATCATTACCAAATATGGAGAACGATGAAAACTTAACAGATCAGAGCTTTAGCTCCGGCTATCCATCCAGTCCACGTAGTCAAAGAACAACGTCGCAAAATTCCAGCGAAGTAGAATCTGGAATAGGTCACCAAGTATCCCTGGCAGGCAGCAGTTCCGTAACGGTTCCCGAACCGATGGAAGATGTTGAAGAAGCTAATACCGACGATACCGAGGCGGGTTCTCTCTCTTCAATGGAAACCACTGCGAAGGATGATGCATACAGGCATCTTGCGGTCATTCCATTCGCACCGCAAGAATGGCCTCATATTGTCTTCTCGTCCCCGCTACCATCTGCCTCACAAGAACCGTCCCATGTTGTCCTGCCATCTCTGGAAGTTGTTGATGTCCTTCCGTCCCAGGTACCATACACCTCGCAGGAACCGTCCCACGGTGGATCCCAAAAACGTAAAAAAAAAGACAAATCCGATCTTGAATCTATCAAAAAAGTCAAGAGGGAATAATTGCATGTGTTGATGTAAATATATACTTACTATTTTTGTGAATAAACCTTTGCTTTTCAAATAAATCGGTATTATGTTTTTAAATATCCCCGCCATTTTCTACAAGCCCACCAATATAAAATTGCACACTCAACATTTAAAAACACTTTAAAACACGTATTTAACTTAATATAAATTAAATATTTTGATTTTTTAATATTATGTTGGCCAAAGTTATATTCTTGTTAGTCAGTTGGCAACAGCGAGTCTGCGCTGTGGACCAGTTTAAACCATTCGTGAGTCAGCTTTCTTTGCTCACAGAGAAGGGCTTCAATTACGTTTCTTCGTTGAAATAATTTGTGTTTAGTTGATTTTTTGGCTATTTTATGAAATTAGTGGTTTTATATTTGTTATATAAGGTTTGTAAAACATACATTTATAGTTTAAGTTGGTTTTAATTCGATTTGGTTTTATGGCGTCACGCCGCCATGTTGCATTTACTAAATATCTCCAAAGCAACAATTTTACTATTATTTGGCTAAATTTACAGAAATGAGCCCTGCCGACTACGGCAAAATATGAAAATTAAATATTATTTTTTTAGTTTATTAGGTAAACATGGAACCCGGCGAAAATATGGAGGTATCTGAGCAGCGTTCTGCTACCAGCATCATAACCATATCTTCCGAGGAACTTATGTACATTGATTTTTCCACTCCTCCTCCTGCAATCCAAGAGATCATTGTTATCAGCAGCACCGAAGAACTTTCAGACGCTTCAATTATGTCTGTAGATAACATACCAAGCGAAAATTCAGGGCGTCTCCAGGGCAGTGATAGTATCCTTTCCGGAACACCTTCAGCAGTATTATCGGATGACAGCTTGAGGTCAAATGAAGACGACGAGGAGGACTTTCCGCTTGAACTGGAATCTCTCTTTCCAAATCTTGAACCAGAATTTCTCATTCCAAATCTGGATTTGGACGAGATCGATGATGTTTTCAACCCGATGCACGAGGCAGTCATCTCTAACGAATCTCACATGTCTCCTGGGAATTCTCCACATGAACCTTAGAAGCATTTAGTGGTGGTGGCTGAGCAGCCAGTATGTATTTCTTTGGCAATAGCCACAATTTGTATTTTCCCTGTAAAAGTTTCATTTAATAAACAAAACCTTAAGTTTTTTACATAGTTTTTGTAAATAACACGCAAAATAAACGCTATTTTGTTTTAAAATAAAAAAATATTACCCTATAATTAAATTAAAATTACATATTTTGATAATACGTTGCCTTTTTT